TACAATCACATTTTTAAGTAATTTATCCTAAGAATAAGCTGTAAGTTTTAGATACACTAGTGGCTTATTTCTTCAAACTTCCTTTAATAACTGAGATTAAAATGGAACAAAAATAGACTTAGAACTTTCTGAAGCTTTTAAGACTAGGTAGGGGTTTCATTTTTCATGTATCCTTTATATAGTTTAGAGTCGCTAAACACAATGTTGTTGCATTACTCTTTCACATAGTAATATTTCATTTCAGTAACAATTTCCACATGGGACATAAATCAAAGGAGGATTAAAAACTTTATAAAATTTATAAATGAATAATCCTTAAAATAAATTAAACAAATACATAGTAAAATAAAGTTTTGTAACTAACAAAACGGTACATTTCCTTGTTTTAATATCAGTATATAAAAATACATGTCAAAAATTATTGATATGAAGCTATTTAAGTTTAACAATAACTCACCTGCATGGGGAAGTCAGGATGAGTATGGTTATAGTTCAGAATATTTCTACACGACTGGTTAAGCATAGAAAACAATGATCCCAGAGCTCGTAACCTGGTGAAGTCCATCACATGTTCCTGCCGCATAGCAAACTCCAGAGCCCTGATCACTAAACCATCAGATGTGAAATGTGGAGCAAGAATAGCAGCAACGTCTCGCTGAACCTGTTACAACAGACAAGATGGAGGTTGGATGATGTTCAAAGTGAATAGGTAATGGAGTTTTAGGTTTTACTTTTGGTTAATGCTGGAGCAAGAATAGCAGCAACGTCTCGCTGAACCTGTTACATGGACGAGGTGGAGGTTGAGTGACGAACAAAGTGAATAGGTAATGGAGTTTTAGGTTTTACTTTTTGATTAATGTTGGAGCAAGAATAGCAGCAACGTCTCGCTAAACCAGTTACAACAGACAAGATGGAGGTTGGATGATGTTCAAAGTGAATAGGTAATGGAGTTTTAGGTTTTACTTTTGGTTAATGCTGGAGCAAGAATAGCAGCAACGTCTCACTGAACCTTTTACAACAGACAAGATGGAGGTTGGATGATGTTCAAAGTGAATAGGTAATGGAG